AAAGAAGATATCCTCTTTCGAAAATAAAGCGTAGTTTAGACGTACCCTGATAGAGGCACGGATAGTCGACTAGCCCTTAACATCCTTACTCTGTATCCTATCAACTTCATACACTCCCCCCTCTTCCTGCCTCTGTATCGACAGGATTAACTGATAAGCGCAGGTTTATTGTTTAATCGTTTATTTGACTATATGCCAACATAGAAGATATCCTCTTTCGAAAATAAAGCGTAGTTTAGACGTACCCTGATAGAGGCACGGATAGTCGACTAGCCCTTAACATCCTTACTCTGTATCCTATCAACTTCATACACTCCCCCCTCTTCCTGCCTCTGTATCGACAGGATTAACTGATAAGCGCAGGTTTATTGTTTAATCGTTTATTTGACTATATGCCAACATGCCTAATTATAGCATTAATCTATTAACAAAAATATCCTCTTGTTATAGTCAAGTTTGTTTTGCAAGTCCCTAATCTCATGATAAAATAATGAAGAAAGTAACAGAAGTGCCTCACCTTAATATTTGCCTTTATTACTGGGGAATGCTGCAGTGTTTAAAGCAGTTATCCTCTTTCAAAACATCACAAAACTTTCTTTTTTGCAATGTTGCCTGACCGATAGTGTCTCGTTGTTCCCTTGTACTCCCCTGACCATTTCCTGTCTGTATCCATCAGTTGGATCTTGTTTTATACCTAGACTATAAACTCAGGGCAAGGACTATCTTTTTGTTTATAAGATCAAGAACACATATTCCTGCGCATCCAGAAATATAATCTATGCTATCGTGTGCCGAAAGTGTCCGTCTGCTATGTACATTGGGCAAACATCTCAGACACTTCGCCAAAGGATTAATGCCCACAAAACAGATATCAGACAAGATCACAAAGAGCAAACAGTTTCTTGCCATTTTAACCAGAAAGGACACTCTCTCAATGACTTAACCACCTGCATTCTGCTACAAAGACCTTTTACATCTGCACTTGAAAGGGAATCCTCTGAACTGTCATTCATGTTAAAATTCGACACTCTCCAAAGAGGATTGAACAAACACTTGAACTATCTTACACATTATCAAGATAGCTTTGCCAATTATCACCTCTAATACCATTAACTCACAAACATCCCACTCTCCCCACCTCTAATATCGTCAATTCACAGACACTTACCTTCCTTCCTCCCCCCCTCCTGCATCCCCCTCCTGTTCTGAAATGCGATTTGTCCTTTTCATATGTGTTCATTTTTTTAATTGTATCCTTTGGTATACATGGTTGTGACTATTTTCTTCCACTATTTGATCTGAGGAAGTGGGTCTGGCCCACGAAAGCTCATCATATAATAAACCATCTTGTTAGTCTTTAAAGCGCTACATTGTCCTGCATTTTGCTTCAGCTACCCCAGACTAACACAGCTACATTTCTATCACTATTCTTAACTATTTAGTCTTTAAGGTGCTAATAGACTATTTGTTGTTTTTTAAGTTTTTCCTGTTACAGACTGGCTCAGATATCCCTTTGAAACTATCTACCCAATGTCCTTCTCCCCCAGTTATTCTTAGTTCTGGATTTCCAACACTCCAGTCATCTGAAAGAAGTGGGAAAGCTCCTGATACATGTTTTGTTAGTCTTTAAAGTGCTACCAGACTATTTGTTGTTTTTTAAGTTTTTCCTGTTACAGACTAACTTAGCTACCACTCTGAAATATTTGTTATGTGTTTGTGCACCACTTAACATAATTGGAGCCTGATCCACCACAGGGGCTCCTAAGTACGCCAGTGATATAGCGATTAACAGAACTATTAATAAGAAATGCCTCACAGCAGGGAGCTCGGGCTTGACAGGTCCGTGGCCACTCAGCCCGGGATACTCCGACTGGGCAGGGGAGAGGGGCTCTCAGGGCTCTTTTAGACGTGGAGAGGCGGGTCCCTTACCCTCTTTCCCCAGTTCCCTAGACCACACGCCCGCCCTCAAGGTACGGGGGCGCAGGAGCCGCGGTTACTCACAGCTCTGGTCTCGTACAGCACCAGCTTCTGCACGCAGCGGATAATCGGCGCCGCGGCGGGCATGGCGATAGCGGGGGAGGGGGCTCGGGGCCCGCCCCACGGCAACGGGAGAGGGGGCAGCCGCGGCAGGGACACTGACGTTTAACGGACGTGGAGTGGACGGGTTCCCGTAGCCAGCCACGCCCCCCAGCCGAGCAGCTCGGGGGCTCCAGCACCAGCGACCGCGGCAGAGGCTCTGGGCGGCCGGGTGAGACCAGAACCGGGCAGACCTGGGGAAGGGCGCCCGGTCGCTTCCCCCCACTGGGACTCAGGAGCCGGAAGCGGGGCTGTCGCAGCGCGCAGGCGCGGTCCCGGAGACAGCGTCAGACTGCGGCGCCCCCGTGACCTGGTCGCGGGACTGAACGACACCGACTCCTCGGCGGCCATCTCAAGTGTGGGTGCCGGGTGGGGGGCGGCAGCGAGGCAAGCTCCTGCCCGCCAGAGTGAAGCGCTGGCAATTTGTGAGGGACAGAGCCGGGCTGGCGCTGAGGGAGAGGGTGCCAGTGGCTACGCGCGGACGGGATCCCATCCTCATGGCCCCCAGCATCAGCACTAGGGACAGCTCCGGCCCCTCCTCTGGCGTTCACCGCTAAGGAACGGCCCTGCGCTTGTAACTCCCGCTGTGGCGGTTGGACGCGCGCGTCGCCACCCGCTTCAAAACTCGGCGCCTTACAGGAGCGCGGCTCGAGCGGCCAGTGGGCGCG